CCCCATAAGGTTCAATGTAATTGTCGTTAATCGGTTCTGGCGTGGAGGACAGGGAGGCAGCTATTGCTTGGAGGGAGAGTCCCCCTCCCTACGACCACGTGTCGGGCGGAAAATGGCTGGGGACCACGTGTCAGGGGCGGAAAAATGGCCGCGGACCACGTCAGGGGCGGAAAATGGCCACAGACCACGTGTCAGGGGTGGAAAAATGGCCGTGGACCATGTGTCAGGGGCAGAAAAATGGCTGCGGACCACATGTCGGGTAGAAAATGGCCGCGGGCCACGTGTCAGAGGTGGAAAAATGGCCGTGGACCGTGTCACGGGAGGGAAAATGGCCATGTATCCTGTTCGTACCCCGAGGCGGAGTTCGCAAACCGAGGTAAATTTTTGCGGCTGGAGCCGGGCGTAACCCGAAAAGTTCGTTAACAGAGGCATTCGTAACCCGAGGTTCCACTGTATTGTAGATGTGTGAACAAAAAAATTCCTGATTTATGAGGGATTTTCACATCACAGGGACAGGAAGAACAGGGATTATTCTTTGCAATAAACATAACGCAGTTCACTCATTATCAAGTTTCTGCAGTGTGTGATTTTCAAAGTCCAGCAGCTATTATGAAAATTAATCAGGGCCACCATCCCAGGGCACTGCAGCAAACTCACAAGGGCATCCTGGCACACAGAGAATCGCTAGGGGTGCCATGAATCAAGAAAGTTTGGGAACCTCTGCATCAGGGACTTGCTAGTCTTTTTGCTACTTGCCTAGGACCAAAAATGATGGGCCCATAGTCCAAAGCTGGTGGACTCTGTTCAGCTTGGTAGGTCACAAGCTGTTCCATTTTCTGTTTTATGGAAGTAAGGGAAATGAAGATATTCTTGTTGAGTTTTCTCTGAAAGCATGAGTTATATACAAATTGATAAAAGAAATAACTAAATAAACATATATCAAGTGTATTTATTGAAAGCAGAAGTGCATTTTACTAGCACTTTTCAGTGTCACATTTTGAAAATTGCTGTATCGGATTACAGAATATTTTATGTTTTTTGAAAGGGGAAGGGAAAAGAACAAAAGTAACATTATTATGTAAAATTCTTATTTAATAGATTGATGAACAGTTAAACAATTCGGGAACTGAATCGGCATCGGAGGTAATCAGATTTCTTTACAATGCAACATTCACCTATTTCTGAATCACTGTAATTACCATAATAATGGCTATGTTCAAAAGTACTCTGGGTCAGGTAAAATTTTGGGAAAGACACAAGATCACAATTGATAACACAGTGTTTTCAAGCTAGGATAAATATAACTTCTGGCCTGATTTTGTTTCAGCTTTATAAAATGATCTTTATTGGTTCTCTGTCATTAGTTGATAATATTTGCATATTGTTTTACCAAATCTGTTTTCTGATATTATCTTCTTTATATCTTCTTTCTGACTGAATTTTGCCTTGTGGTTTAGCTATATGTGGGGCAGCTTTTTGACACTAAGTGCCATACAGATTGTTGGACCAGGTGTAGTACACACATTTATTCATGTACATCTCATATTAAGCTAAGTTTTACTGTGGCTTGTTGAATGAGTCACATTTAGCTATGTCACATATTGAACTAGGCCATAATGGGTTCAAGTTCAAAATGTCTGATTCAATCAATACACTAAGCTAAAATTAAGCAAACATGACTTTAGGTGATCTCTCATTCATTTATATATCCACCTTTCACTAACTGGGTTCACACTCAATATTATAATGTGGTTTGCTGGGTTTTGACATAGCAAATTGTATGAAGCCAACCACTGTGGTTTGTAAATCATGCTTATCCCTCATAATAATGTGTGAACCCAACCAATTCTAGCTTCTTTAACAAACTATAGCAAATAATGGCTAAGTACAGTATATGATCCCAGCCACACACATATGTACCACTCTACTTTATAGACAGATCATTTCTCTAAACATAAGATGGATGAATGACTGAACTGTGGTCAGTGAAAAGCAATAATGGACTTAATGCATGTACTAATGTGATACTGTTAGTCACATTATAAAGGATTAGAGTGTTATTCTTTAGATAACACTATCTTGATTCTAGCATTAGCTGGAATATACATATTTATTTATCATATTTATATAGCTGCCCATCTCACACAAGGTGACTCTAGGCAGCGTACAACAACATAGATAATTCTCATCTGCCATGTATTACAGACCATTTACCAATTCAAATCATACAGCTGTGTTAGCCATCTCTTAATAGCATTCATTGTCACATCCACTGTTTCACACATGCTTAACCTAATTACTTATAGTAACATAATTATGATATACATAATGTAGTAACTGTTATTTAAAACAACTTGCTCGCAGATTTTTAATTTTTTTCATAGCAAAATGATATTCGAGTCATGAAAGTCTTTAAGTTAGCAAAAGTTAGATTAATTTAGTACTTAGGTACTTAAGTATATATTCTAGGAACTTCTTTAGTTGAAGTATTAAATTTATATTCAAAAATTGAATTTCAGTAGTTCTTGAAATCCTTACATTAAAATTTGTCTTTAACAGGGTCTTTTAAAATGTAAGATAATTCAAGTGATTTAATTTTTGTGATTGCAGGTATTAAAGTGTAAAATAATTTGAAATAAATTACACATTGCACTTCAGTTTACATAAATAATTACTGATTAAATTATTTATGTATGTTTTGGGGTATTAAACATAGCTGTGTTGAAGTGTTTAAGTATCCAAAAATGTAAATAATTTGATCTGTAATACTATAAAGCAGAAATATTTGTACAGTATTTAGATTAAAAGACTCTAACATTTTAAGATACCTTACCATGATTCTGTATCAGATAATGAAACTTCCATATGCTTACTATCCTCTAGTTGTTATACAGAAAACAAGTTTCTCTACATAGTAGCTGAATAATAGGGGATCCAACACAAGATTTTTCTATGCCTTTTATGAGGCATCAGTATATGTTTATGAAACAACATATTATGGTCTTTGTTTTGTTTGTAGGGAAGGGAGATGTTAGAAAGAACAGAGATGGCAAAAAGGAAGGTTGAATTGATAGCAGTAGTTTGCATAACATTCTAAGGATTGTTGGATGATCTTTTCTCCTGAGCAATAATATTGTAATAGAAATTTTTAGTACCAAGTGTGATGGAGCTCTGGTAGTAAATTGGTATGACATGTATTTCTACATATTGTGATATAATTCCACATGTGTTCCATATCAGTTAAAGTGATAGGAGTATCATACACACACACATATGATACTATCCAATTAATATGGCATTTCTGTAGATTATTTTAATTTGTTTAAAAGTATATATTTAATCTAAAACATGTTGATAGGCACTGGGTATTTTTTAAAGTGAGGTGCATACTTCATAAAATTTTGGATTTAGCTGTTTTTAATGCTTGTAATAGTGCAGTTAAATCTGTATGTTAGATAGCTTGATCAGGTAGTCTCAATGCCAAATTACATGTTCCAATTTTTTTTCAGATTTTTTTTTAATGAGTTCAGTAATGGGAAAAAAGAGCACAGGAGCTACCATTTTGTTTTAAATAAAATTTATTTATTGTATACAACATAATCCTTTTGGATTGAAATAATTATTATTCCTCTTTTCCAAATAAGCAAGACATATTATATAGTATTTTAAATATTCAGTAGAGACTGGTTGTGATGTAGTATTAGCAGATTACTAGAGTCTGCTAGAGTCTAGAGTCTGAAGTTTGAATCTCACCTCTTCCATTAATTTACTGGGTATCTTTTAGTCAGACTACTTTGCCTTTGAGCCCACCATAAAAAGTTGCTGTAAGGACCATAGTTTCATAGATCATGTATGTTCTAGAAACAGAAGAGACTAGTTTTTGTTGATACTCCCTTCTGCATTGCTGTTACCATTTTTGGAGAGTCTCTAACACTTTGGAGCAGTTTTCTGGGGACACAAGGAGCTGTAGGGGGGGAAGGGGAATTTCCACTGGATTGATATCCTTTCTACAAAGGAAAGGAACTCTTCCCATCACAGAAAGGATTGTCAAATTGTGTTTGTTGCAAATTTCTACATGGGAAGAGCATCTTCCTTTGATGTCTGGCTATCCAAAGGTTATCCGTTACTGGAATTTCTATGCAGCCACAGATTTTGCCCACTCACTCTTCAAAAAGTGAACATTGTATGGAGAGCATATTATTCACAGGCATCTGTAACTACGATATTCAAATGTTGATGGTAATATTTGTTTTTAACAACAGGAAGGTGATGAGTCAGTGCTAGTGACAGTAGTTCCTGTAAAACCTAGCAAATCACCTGGAAGGATGAAAATAAGTTTTGAAGACCGAGAGAGAGAAAGAGAAGAACAAGAAAGAAGAAAGCTTGAAGAAGAAAAACGATTGAGATATGAGCAGGAAAAGGAAGCTCTAAGGGAAATCAAATATTTTTCACCAGATGTGGTAAGCTAATTGGCATGTAAAATGTTGCATGATCTCAAAAGCATGTTTATTTAGAAATAGCCCTCCACCCTGAATGAAGGGAAACTTTCTTCCAAGGAAGTAAATGCAGAACTATGGAGAAAATGGAGAGTTTTAGGCCACATGTATCATAAGGGTGTAAATTTGAGAAATGAACCTTCTGTATAGGATGAAGAGGAAAGCTTTGATAATGAAAGGAAAGAATCTCCCTCTCCTGGTAAAGTTAAATTAACATTTGAAGAATTGGAAAGACAAAGGCAAGAGAAAGGGAAGAAGCAAGCAGAAGAGGAGGCAAGGCTACGTTTGGAAGAGGAAAAACGTGCCTATGAGGAGGCAAGGCAACAGATGGTAAGCATGTAGGGATATGTTTGAACATATAAAGTCAAGAGATTTTTTTCAATCTAGGCTGGATATTACAAGATGAATTTATTAGCACATAATGGAGGATTTAGCCCATTTAAGAACCAAAGATCAAAGATTTACAAGGTCTTGAAGTTCCTTCTTTCCCATTGCTCAAGCAACTCCTCCTCCTCCTCCTCTGCATATGGAGGCCAAAATGTTATTGCTTTTTGTTGTTGTTGTTCCTAGTGGCTGGAGAATCTCTTAAATAGAATCTGTGCAGAGGATGGTCCTACTGATTGAAGAGAGAAGGGGATTTTTGCTGATTTCTGCCACTCTCCAGAAGCATCTTGTAATATCTGAGCGGTTTGTCCCAAATATTCTGGGATCTGTATCTTTTGGTGGAATTCCTTTGCTGGATCAAAGTTTCCATAAGCAAAAGGCATTATTTTCTTGGTGAATGGAGAAATCAGAATCCAACCTATTTTTTTTTTAATACTGAGGTTTTTAGATATAATTATCAAAATATTTTTAACCTACAATTTGTTTAATATATTTTGGCATACTGATATTCTTTTATCTTGGGGCATAGTAAATATTATATGTATTTTGTTCTTTAACACTGTATTTGTCATTATAATACTGTTTAATCATTGTGCTGTTTAACAGACTTAATAAATTGGAATTGAATTGAATTTAGCTACCATTACTTTTAGAGTTAATTGTTGAAAAATCTGGCACACATACCACATCACAGTTGAGTTTGGCATTTTCCAAATTAATGGCATATTTGAACATTCTTTCAAAAGCTTCTTTAAAATACGTTCTTCCCCCAAAGATAAATGAAGAGGATGAAGATAAAGAAGATGAACATTCTGTCAAGGAATTCCGCCCTGGAAAACTGAGAATGACATTCGAGGAAATAGAAAGACAAAGGCAAGAGGAAGAAAAAAGAAGAACAGAGGAAGAGGCCCGAAGACGTATAGAAGAGGAGAAAAAAGCATTTGCTGAAGCAAGAAAAAGCATGGTAGATAACCATTTAGCTATTCTAGTTAGCTTTAGCTGCTCATATTTGCTAGATTCAACACCAGCCCTTAGTGGCATTACACAAATGGTTTAACACAAATTTTTAAAACTGGAAGAAAATACCCCAAAACAAATTCCAAACTTAAATCAAAAGAACTAGAGCCAGACTTATTTCTCTATGAATCAAGGATCCTGTGGAGTTTTCCCCTGGGGAGAGGGTTAAATAATTTTCACTGGTGGTTCTTTCGCATATGATCCCCTCTATACACAATGTTTTTCTTGTGCCATTTGGAGAATTCTCAAACCTTTTAGGGCAGCCTGTAGTCATGACAACTGATATTAATGGATATTGAAATGCTCTCATACTCTAAACTTATCTATTAGGTTATTTCTAGGTCATCTTTTGGGCCAGAAGGATCCTCAAGGTCATTTATAGTTTAAAAAAACATAACATAGCAAAATAAAGAATAGAAGAAAGTCAAGTTTAAAAGACAAAACAGAAAGGAAATTATAACTTCAAAAATTAATGCCAATTTTTAGTTCTCAGTTCAGACAAAGTGGGAAACAATAAAGATTTCCTGATTTGAATGAGGAAGCTGATCATGTAGACTTTTTCACGGTGGTATTTCAGTTTATGATCATCCAAACTCTTAAAATTTATGACCAAAGCATTAGTAAAGCATTAAAAAGATAAAAGTATTTGTCCATATAATGGTCAGTATGTAATTTATAATTTATACTGAATCTATTATTAATAAACAAGATTATTTCTAATAGGGGCCAGATGATGAACTTTCACTAATGTCCAAAACTGTATCTCAAGAATCTCTGACACCTGGAAAACTGGAAATTAATTTTGAAGAGTTACTGAGACAAAAAATGGAAGAAGAAAGAAGACGCACAGAAGAAGAACGCCGACAAAAACTGGAACAGGAAAAGCAAGAATATGAACAGCTTAAACAAGAAATGGGAGAGGTCTGTGTTTTATGTTGTGAAATATTTGTTTCCTTCCTGATAGAAGACTTAGATAAGAAATTTATTTTTTATTTATAAGCTATACAACTTGTATAGTTAACTGTTTTTAATTGTGGAGTCCTTAGTGCTCTCTGAGCTTGGTTGTTTGCTTGCAAACATTTCATTACCTGACTAGGTAACATAATCAGTGCTAGTGAGTGTGGTGTTTGCTCCCTATACAGTAGCTTGCCCTACCAGTGCTGGCGGGGTTGTGGTTTTTCCCTTGGTAGTTCCTTGATTAGGATATTGTTTTCTGGTTGATTGTTTGTCTGGTGTTAATCCCTGCTTATTTGGGTGTTGGCTGCTGTAAAGGATGTGTTCTGGTCTTTTTGTTTCCTTCTTAGCTTTATTATTTCTTTTGAATGGCATATAACTCTGGTTTATCTCTGTATGTCTATTATCTCTATGTGTCAATTATTTTTAATTGGATTTTGTTCAGTATTCTTTGTCTAACTGATAATTTCGAAAAAATTTTTCTAATAGGAGGAGGAAGAGTGCGAAACCTTTGAGCTAAGCAGGGAATATGAGGAGCTAATAAAGTTAAAAAGAAGTGGTACAATGCAACCAAAGAACTTAAAGAAAAAATTTGAAAAAATTGGAGAGTTATCTGAGGAAGAAACACAAAAAAAAATTGAGGAAGAAAGAGCAAGGAGGAGAGCTATAGATCAAGAAATAAAAGAAAGAGAAGCAGAAAATTTTCAAGAGGTATGCTAATTATTTTGATATATAGAGAGAAATCATTTGTGGGCCATCATTTCATAAGTCAGTGAGTGTCTTGGTATTGTAGGCTTCCCAGTATAATTTTAAGATCTTTTATAGTTTGGTCATTGTCATGTGTTAGCTTTTCAAAACATAGATATGGCTACCGCAAAAATTGTTGATTTTTTAAGTATTATTTGCATAGATAATGTATGACATTGTTTCCATATTTTAATAACTGAATCCAATGAAACAATGGTAGTGATGAGATTTATTAGCTGAAAGACCTGGGAACGTTGCACATATTGCCAGGTTTAGATACTGCCATACCAGTATGAGCCATTCAAAGGAAAACGATAGAAAATGATAGCTGTCTATCAAGGAAACAGGATTCTGGATCTTAATCATGATAATCCATGGTAATCCTCTAAACCCCATACATCTGGCTAATTTAATCCTATTTTATTTATTCAATTGGTATCACACCTTTCTAGTAACTGAAAGCTGTGATACCAATTGTATTCTCTATAATTGTAGCTAATAATACCTACAATATAGAGAATACAGATTCAAATCTACAAATACAGTGGTACCTCGGGATACGAACGCCTCTACTAACAAACGTTTCAGGTTACGACCAGCTTTGGCAGGAAAAATTTGCCTCGGGTTACGAACGGGGCCGTGGTTTCCTGTGGGCGAGGTCGCAGTAGCAAGGAGATGTTCGGTGAGGCTTGTGGTGTGTTTTGCGGTGTTTTGCGAAGGTTTTT